TCGATAATATATATATATATATATATATATATATATATATATATATGTCAGTTTACATTATGCGGCAAAAGGTCAGATAAGATATAATTTTTTTACATTCTAGTAGTTTATTTAAAATAAAGCAGAAAGACTTATTTTTCGTTACGATCTCATCACTCAAGAAATTGATAACTTACGAAGTATAATGTTCAACATACCAATTTTCACGTAAATGTTGTATAAGTCGAAGAATAATTCTGGGCATCATTGCCTCGGCTACACTCATCAGATCAGATGGTGCAACTGATTTATTTACATTTGCATTTGGCCCATGCCTATCACAAAATCTGTAAAACAGAAAACAAGTCAGCAACATGTAAAGAAAAATATGTGTTCATAGATCACAAAAAAATTTGTAGAAATATGTCAAAATATCTTACTGAGAAATTATAATATCCCTGACATATCCTTTAAAAAAAAAAGAGAAAAAGAGAAATAGTAATATTTAAGAAAAATTAAGATATTTTGGAAGCCAAGAGATTTTTCAATATATCCCGCAAATTTCTACTATTCTACAGAATATTGTGTTTGTATTAATTGATTTACCCAGTCTCCTTCATCACAGATGTATCGCCACAATCACATGCACCACCTGCTTGGCTGAGAAACATGTTGAAGTCATGACGATAGTGATTTCCCTTTTTGAAACATTCGGTACATAAAGACATACAGGGAGATATGCCGCACGTACGACAGCGATACGCTACAAAGTTTGGTGTCCATACAAGACCGCAGGTAGTAGCATTATCGTAAGTGCGTACTGCAAAAAGTAAAAATTTGATTGATAAACAACAGGATTATAGTCTGTTTCCATAATACAATTAATATCGCTTTTATAATTTTTGTAATTACACATTTTTGTAATTATTATCGAGTTTCCAAACGCTTACTATTTTATTAAAGCATATTAATAAAAATAATATAATCTGTAAAAATAGAACACACACACACGCGCGCGCACATTTACATACAAAATATTTTGTTTCTAGAGCATTTTCTCTGAGGTATAATTAAATTCTTCTTAATGTTGTAAGTACACAAGATATGAATAGCAATAAGTAATCTAAATAATGTTGCAATTATATGTTACTTAACGTACACTTCATATTATTTACGATAAATATTTAAAAAAATTAATGCCTCAATACACAAAATTGCCCTTATATAACATTTGAAACTCAGTGTAATTTTTGTAACGTTAAGCTAACGTCATCGACGATAGCTGCAATTCTATACTTGTCTTCTCATGACTATATGTTTATCTGAAAAATTAACGCTGCCAAATACGCAAATACTGTATATTTATACCTGCGTGTATAGTTTATAAAATTGCAACATTGCAAATAAGGTATAGTAGAAGCAAAGTAAATGCTTATTGCAACGAAAAACATAGATTTTATATATTAATCCAATAATAATTCTTAAAAATTTTATAATTTTGATATAAGATATATTATTTAACTATAAAATTAGCTTCGTTTTTATATCTATAAAATGGCTTTCAGATAGAAAAACTTAAATTGATTGCTACTCATTTTATAAGATTTTAAACTAATATTTAAATAACACTAATATTTAAATAATCAAACAGTTATAAATATTTCTATTAAATACAAGGCATTTAAACAAAGTAAAAGCAAATTTATGCAGAATTTTAAAATATTGCAATGGATAAAAGAGATTTCTAATGTCCAAAAATAGTTTTTTGATTATTTACTAACAAAATCTTGTTTTGTGATTGATTTTATTATTCCTTAGAAAAATCAATTGCTGAAAACAATGATTATTTCTTAGAAAAATCAATTGCTGAAAACAATTGATTGTTAGTTATTATTTATACAATAAATTATTTATACAATAATAAGTGAAATTTGATCAAGAAATGTTCAACATAAATAAGCGAGAAAGATCGTATTTCGTCAAAATGAGTCTTGATGCCTAATATTTTTGCGTGAATCTCATAATTTCCAATTCAAACAATGTATTGCTTATACAATTTAAATTTAAAATAAAATAGTATGACTTTCATACTATTTTATTTTGTCAGTATTATTTCATTCTGATTGATGATATTCCTCTCCTATGTCTCAAATTTGATTATAATAATTATATATTTACTCCAAGCAAATTAAATTTGAATAGTATACGCAATAATTGGTATTTTTTCCTGAGTCAGCGACTTATCTAAAACCCAATTCCATAACTCAAGGTTAACTCTTAACCCAAATTCAATTTATTTTAAAAATTGGAAAGAGATGAGAAACAAATTGAACCTTGGTTAAGAGTTAACATGACAAAAAGTTGTGGAACTGGGCCTAAGAAATTATAAAATTAATATAATCAATATAAAAATGTATTTATAAACAATATATATATAT